GTGACTGATGGCCCTCCCGAACTGTCCGCGAGGGTATCCCGTGGCCATCCTGGGCCCGATTCCCTCCAATGCCGTGTACCCTGGGGGATGCGCTACCCATGGACAGCCACGTTCGCTCACGACCGCACAGCCACGAGCGATGACGCTGTCGTTCCTCCCCTTCCCTCCGGTAAATGAGGCGGGCCTCTCCGTGCTGCTACTTCGTCATCCTCTTCGCCCTTCCTTTCTATCGCCACTGCCTCCTTCTTCCATCCCCTAGGCGCCCGCGCTTGGTTGCTATCAAACATCGTGGCTCTTATACTCGTATACATATAGTTACATGATGTGAATCGCACATCGAAGAATTCAAACATGCATTCCTTCCATACTTACTACTTCTTGCTCTGTCCGTACCTTGACGTCATTTCTTTTTTATCACCTCCTTCTTCGTTCTTGTTCTTCGTCCGCCGCCTCCGCCGCCTCCGATGGCGCCCCCGCGGAGTCGTTCTTCGTTTCCCTATGCAACCACCCATATCAGTATCAGTAGTCGCCCATACTCCTTCGCTATCGCCGGCGGCGCACTGGGGGCCTTCTCTTCCGGCGCCGTCCGTACCACCTCAGTAGCCGCCCATACCGCGGCCACAACTGCCTCCCCCGCGCGGCGGCGTGGACTCGCCGGCTGCCATCGATCCTGCGCAGAGAGATCGGTCGGTGGTGCGACTCGGCGCCGCCGGGCGGGGCGGCGGGCCGCGGCCGGTACTGACCGGTCGCCAGTGAGGTGCGGTCGATAGGAGCTGCCGGTGGTGCTGTCTGTTCGTCTGTCCACCTGTCTGTCTGTCTGGAGGGGAGGAGGGTGAGCAGGGTGTGAGAAGCGGATGGAGGCCCTGCGAGAGCAGTGATCAGGTGAGAATGGGTCACGTTCTCACCTGTCCTGGTGGGGAGGGGCTGTTATCTCTCCGTCACTTTCTGGTCGTCTTCCTTCTGATGAATTTGTTCCTCTAGTCGCTTTGTTTGATATTCGATAGCGTCTCTTGTGCGGAGCGCTCATCCACCGCACACCACGTGCAGCATATCCGGCCATAATTTAGTTTGTTAATCACCTGTACACCCCCGTTCGGCAGACACATTTCACCCTCTGCCCCTCTCTGACTTCTGATTGGCGCACTTCTCGCCCGAGTCGGACGGCTCGTTCTTTCCTTATGTCTGAGGGTGCGGTGTGTCTGCTGTATCATTTTGGTTAGACTTCACGTTTTTATGACGCCTCGGCTTCGTGAAATCGTCGACTGATGCTTATTTCGTCCCCGCATATCCCGTCCGAGAATGCCGTGAGTTGCAACCATTTCCGTTTTAGCGGGCGCTAGGCACGGACAGAAAATGTATTCAGCCAGTCCGCGGTATCATTCATGCTATTGTTAGGGCTCATATCTCTTGACAGTTCCTTTCAAATTGTGCATAATTTAGCCAGCACCGGTCTGCCTTTCTGCATTCATGAGTTGCTATATCCTGCCCACTCACCCAAAGCGCCGAATCGTCCACCAGCCCAGCCGGCCCGGTATCCCCGTGTCTCGCCGTCCGGTCATATCGACCCTCCCTGCCCGGGCTGACTGGCGGAGCCCTGACTACGGAACCTTCCTACGGGGGAGCCGGCCACGCCCTTTGACCAGCTGACTGCCGGGCCGGAGAGTCGTTACGGCGCCCCGCGTCCTACGGTCCCCTCTCAGTCAGTCGGGAGAGAAGCTAGAAGGTGCTGCGCGGTCGATGATCCGACGACTACTCGTATGCTTTATTAGTTCTCCGTAGCTGCTGTCCCATTGCGATTTGTCATAATGCCATTCTAAATACATTATGAAACAGCTCGTATGGATTCCGTGATATGGATTGCATCCCTTCTTCTGTATCTGTCTTCCTCGCTATGCATATCGGACGAAGTTACCTTCCTTGTGAGGGACTGTGAACTGAGTGGTGTCGTGCGGTACAGCCTACCAGCTCAGGCAGGCATGGTGCTGACATCTATCGGCGGGATTTTCGTACAGCTTCGGCCGGGCCGCACTGGGCTGCTAGAGCGTGTCATGTTAGGCTACTGTGAGACGCCAGGTTGAGTCAATGTGGGGCCCATGTTGATGTAACGTGGAGCACCATGTTGTGCTACGTGGGACGCCATGTTGAGCCAACATTGCACAGCATGCTTATCCAATGTGGGGTGCAATGCTGGACAAGCGTATGGTGGTATGTTTAGCAAGCGTGGTTCGTCATGCTTAGCAAACGTGGGGTCCGTGGGCGCCATTTTGATTTTGAGCTCACGTAATGCTGATGCTGGTCAAACGTGGATAGCTGGCTATATCGAACTAGCGTAGCTCTCTCCAAGCGTTATTCTGAGCCACCGAACGGATGGATCTATATTCCTGGACTGCGTGTGGGAACGAAGCCAGACCACAGTCGTTATATAGTTACGTGAGGCTTTGTCGGGTGGGACGTGTGTAGATGTGGCGTTATTAATTTATGTCCCGGCCAATGCGACAGCAGGTGTTGGCGCTGGGTTGGTTATTCGATACCCCTGTAGTGGTGGGTATGTTTGCCTCACCAATCATACGCTGACAAGTGACATATATAGCATTAGTGTGGCTAACAGTTTGGAGGATTGTTACTGAAGTTTTCTCTACTCTGCGCCTGCGGTGAAGGCCAGTCGACGATACGATATTTAACGCTACTTTCCGCGCTTGGTTCGAATAGATTCGGTCTTTACAGATACTAGGGAAGTGCTGGAACACATGAGGCGACCGCATGACGTCGATGACCTCAATATAGTTACGACTCGGATGAACTTTACCTTCAGTATGACGCTCTCACTGACGAACTTGTCGTGAGTTTGACAGGTAGTGCCTACGAGGTTCGTGGTATTTCCTCATAGCGTGAGCCGTATTTTAAGTTTACTGTTCTTGAAGTGAGCTAACCGGAGTCCTGACTGGTAACATTATTCTTGAGAGATTGTTCAGTTTGTTCATGAAGAATTATTGAGTTTGGTGATAACTACCCGATTTCTTCGTTTGCCTCAAATAACTAGTGGGGTGAGTGGCAATTGACAAAGCTTAGTGATAGACGTCATTTCTACGATAGTATCCTACTCTTCTTTATCAGCTGTCTTGCCTTTTCATATTGTGCTGTTCTTTTCACACGTCAGTAGGCCTCAAAACGTGCTGCTGTGTGCGTACCGCAACGTGCAATAACACTTTTTAGCATACCACATGGCAACAGTCCTACCCTGGTGTGTCGTACCTTGGCTACCTTTGTGTATCATACTTTGGTGTGTCATATTCCGTAACGTACCTTTTAGAGTAGGTACCGTGCCGTTCCGTGACTTTCCGTGTCGCGCCGTACCATGGCGTGTCGTTCCGTGCTCGCCGGCACCGCGCCCGCCGGTCGGCACCTGTTGAAAGCGAAAGGTATCGATGTGCGTCCCGGCTCCATCTTGACGCACTGAGGGTGTCAGCGCTGAGGAAATCGTCCGGAGGGAACTGGAGGGAACGGCACGGGACGGGACGGGACGGGACGGGACGGGAACTGGACGGGCTGGAACGGAAAGTGACGAGATGGGACAGGCGTGGAATGAATCAATGGAAGGAAACCGTAATGAGACCGAACGGAAAAATTTCTTAGGGAGCGCTATTACATACAGGCAGTATGTACGGCTGGCCAGGTGATTTCGGCCGAGGGTATGATTTAAAATTGTGTAGCTTGCTGGTATGCATCAAATAACCTTTTTATGTTGCTCGAAACCTCTGCCTCTGTGGAAAACGTGGCCACGCTTCACGTTTGTCAGGAGCTGCACTTTTACTGTCGAGTGGTACTGAGGTAAAATTGGTCGCCTGCCGGTGGCCGGCGTCGCTACTGCGCGTTCCCCGTGATCCAGCTCAAGAGCCGCCTTCAAAGACGCCAAAAGGCCTGGCGAGCTTTTATGACGGTCTCCTTACACGATGAGTGCTATTTCTTTAACCGCAGAGGCGTGCTTTTATGACTTGGTTGAATGGATTCCTGAGATGAAATTAATGAAGGTGGTGCGCCCAGGCTTAATCTCGTCTTTAATGTCTCTTCTTTCATCTTTTTGAGTGGTACATGCGTAATTTTAGTCTTGTGACGCTAAGATGATTGATGTTACGTGGTGATTGCACATTGCATCAGTTAAATTGCGTGTGAGAATTACGACTTGTGGAACCACGACGTGTTGATCATTTGTGTTTATTCCTGCAAACGATATTCCCTGCTTTCCGACTGCCCAGTGGCAGTGTCTCTCCTTTCACCAACTGACTGGATTTTCTTGTGTTCCTGCCACCACGATGAGCAGTGCTTCCCGTTCGTTTCCCCATCAGACTGACCGCCGACTCGCGTTTCTTGCCCCCGGAGCGCCCAGCAAATCGAGTGTGTTGCCCTCATACCGACCACTAGCTCACGTGTTTGAACCCAACATTTCCACTCCAGTAAACCGTAACAAACTGAGCTCTGATTCCCATGTTTGTTTGACCTCAGGCTGTCAGGGGTCGAGTGTTGGGTCTACCTGTTATGCCACTGTGTTTGTTCGTTTCTCTCCAGGCGAATGGTGACCCGGTGTGTGTTTATGATTCCGGAATGACCTAATCTGTCCCCAGATTGACCTCTGTCTTTGAATTATGCCCTCTGACCTCAGTATCCGCAGGTGACTCTCGCTCAGAGATGCCATTGACTATCGTATAGGTATCTGTTGTTCCGTAGGCGACTCCAGGTATGTGTGTTTGTCCCCAAACAGACCTCTGACCTCTTACATGTGACCTGTGACCTGTGACCTCTGCCTTCTGACATGTGTGTCTTCAGGCTCTCTCAGATGGCTCTCCCTCAGAATATCGTATATCTGTTGTTCCGTAGGCGACTCGCTATGTGCGTTTGTCCCCTGACTGACATCTGACCCCTTGCTGTTTTCAAACGGACCGGTGTCTCCCTCTGCGCGTTTGTCCCAGACTGACCTCTGACCCCCGCCCTTTGTGTCTGTGCAGGCGGACCGGTGACCCTCGTGTTCAGCCACCACGGGTAGCTGCAGTTTCCGGTGAGTGTTCCGTCTAACAACATTAACCTCACTGTTTCAAGTTCAAGGCCCATTAGTTATAACTGAGCTCATTTCGCCGAACTTTGCTCTAATTTCTCTCGTAGTTAGGCCGCTTCCGCGAACCATGTCTGCGTCTTCAGATATTTTAAACGAATGAAAAGTAGTCTGGGATACATAACCGTATTTTATTATCATTTACATGCGCTTTTCGAGGGCTTGTGCACTCTGAGAGTTCCACTCATCGTGGCAGGGGATAAAGCTCCGCATTAGGCTCTATAGCACACGTTCTTGAGATAAATCCCGATTTTCACCACGGTTGGCTGGGTCTCAGGAGGCGGGCTGTCTCCTCTCAAAGCGCGACTGAATTGTTTCGGAGATGGAAACGGGCACCGTCTGGCGTCCAGCCGACAGGTTCGCTGCGGCTGGCATGTTGTTACGGATGGGGTTGAAAAACAGCACTCCTGAGGGATAAGAGGATACGCCGATTCGGCTTTGTAGGAGCTGGGGATGAACCGAGGCGTCGGCTCATGCAGCGATGGCCGAATCGTTATGGATGAAACATACTTCACTTGATAACCATAAATTGCATTTCAAAGCATATTCAATTTGTTGCTAAGACAGCTGTGTTGGTGGCTTGCTTTCATCCATCCTTATTTCCATGGTGTCTTATGTTCTTATATGGTGCTATCCAATGAGAGCATACTTTCCCGCTACCGTTCGAGTGCCTGATTTTAGAGTGCAGTAGTGTTGAGCACAAACACGGCTATTTTCACATTTCAATGTATTGTTAGCCGCAGCTGGATCAGCCCCGACGGCGTGCCGTGCGGGCCAGTATACCCTCCCAGGCGGCGATGGTGCTGCCACCTCTCGGTGTTTTTCTCGTCCCCGCCTGCACCCCGCGATCCACTGCTCCCCTGCTCCTCTGCCGTTCTGAGAGGATCAATACACGTGTTGGAATGCGGGCCGGGCCGCCCGTGATGCCGCCAATAAGGCGAAATTTGCATCTCCGTCCTCTGGAGCGGCCGACGCGCTGACCGGAATGGATGAAAATTAGCATCACGAGGGGGACGAGATATCCTCTGAGACGATCATTGCGCTGTTAGCTTCTTATCATACTGCGTATTACCGTATTTGTGCAGCGTATTTGATGGGTTACTGGTTCATACCAGTCGCAAGTGGACGAAATATGGACGATAGTCTCTATTCTTGGCCGCATGGGTGATATCTTCATTTTCAGTATTGCTGCGCAGTGCGCATACAATATTTACGTCCCTCTTATTGACTTAACAAGAGCCGGCGACAGCTATAAGTAAGTCAATGACGCGGCAAATGCATTCAGTGTTCCATTTGTGGATGTCAAGTAACTTAGTAAAGTACGCATCTGGGGTAGGCTGCTGCATCCCCCGCATTTTCTTATTGAACTGATGCGCGTTTTACGCATGCCGGCTAGGAATCTGGTATGTACCGATGCGAGGCATAGTTGAAGAAGCGCTTACTTTTCTTGTTTTCTATGGCAATGACTAATGAGACCATTTACGCTTCCCTGATGCTGGACGAGACAGAGGCATCCCTAGATGGGGGTTTTTGGCTGGTCCTGTTATCTAACTAGTCTCTCTTTGAGTGTCGGATCTGTGCTATTGTTAGCTGATCTGTTTGAATTTGGTGTCATACATGTGAATTCCTAGGGGCTACCACCTGACTTGAAACATGCAGCGGTGGCAGCGGCAAAGATGTGTACTGTGTAAGTGTGTAGAGAATCAATCAAATGAATCTAAGCTGAAGTGAAAGGCATGCATGTCAATAACGACAACAATGCATATAGACCGCTATGTGAGCTATGGTGCCATTTCACCAATCAACAATCGCGTCCGTCCCGCGCGAGGCCCTACCACGGCCAACTCGGTCACGAAAATCCCGCCGCTAGATGTCAGCAGTGGTACCTCCCTGCAGTGGTAGACTGTACCGCCGGGCCGTCTCACGCCTGCCTGCCGCACTCCGGCCGCTGCCGTCGCCGTCGGTTCGACTCCTGGTCATAATTGGCTGGTGCCAGTGGCGCCGCAGTGGTTATGGTGTACCGTTTCAGCCGTAATTGGACGAACCGATGAGGGTGATTGGCACGCCCCGAACCAATCATCTTCGGGGCGGCGACTAAAGAGGCCAATCACGGGCGCTTGGGTCATCATTCGAGGACTAGTTGAGTTAGTGATCGTGGCATGGTATCGGCGAAGGAATGATCGCAGGGTAGGGATCGAGTTTCGTCACTGGGTATATGTGATGTAATACTACTTAGACTACTTAGAGGTTTATCCTACCGTCTTTCTCAGCAAAATTGAATTTTATTTTATATATTATCCCGCGCACCGACGGGGGGGGGCGGATATCCGCCCCCCCCTAAGGTTTTTCGCGAATAGCGGGAAAACCGCGGCGCGTAGCGCCGCGAAATTTGGTATGACTATTCCCTTCTCAATTTTACACATGGTGTGCAAGTTTGAACCTCCTACCTTTCAAGGTCAGGTCACCAGGTCACTTTGAATGACCCAACCTCAAGTCACTTTTTTGCAACTTTGTCACCGTGCCAGAGCTACAGTAGATGTCGGAGGCCTTTGAAAGTCGCAGGATGTTATTAGGTCATTAGTAGCTACAATTTGTATATCTCGGAATTTTGATATCGGTGACCTAAGGTCAGGTCAATTTCGCGACCTCCCCATTATAAGTCAATGGGGGAAAAATCAACTCCCTGTTTTTACCACTAAAACGGGTCGGAATGGCCCCATATACCATACATGACTTCATATACGATCAACCTTCACTACCTTGAGGTCTGTTTTGCTGTTGGGCAGCTGTGAGGTCATGTGACGTCATCAAAGGTCACCAAAGGGTTTTGGCCAATAACTCCGTACAGGAACAAGATACAGACGCGTGGATGGTCTCATTGTGTTCAGCTCGTCAAGACGCATCGAATGATATACATGATGACCTCGAGGTCACGTGACCTGAGGTCAACCTTTGACCTTGACCTTTCGAGGTCAACATATATATCATTCGATGCGGATTGACGAGAGGATCACGATGATGCCCTTAGTTTGTTCCTATCTTGACTAATTCGAAAGTTATTCGAGAAAAACTCTCTCCATATTTAGCGCCGCCATTTTGACTTTTTCGACCCCTGTGACGTCATCTTTGACCTGACCTGAAAATGACCTTCGTAAAAATTGTAGATCTTGACCGTGCGTATCCGATGCCGTTTACCGCTTGTCGCTATCTTGCTTCGTTCTCGAGATCTCAGGGGGGGGGCGGTCATCCGCCCCCCCCGTCGGTACTAAGTTGGCGCAGACCCCCGTCGGTGCGCGGGTTAAGTCACGCTTCTATTACTCCTTTGCTCTCTCTCTCTCTCTCTCTCTCTCTCTCTCTCTCTCTCTCTCTCTCTCTCTCTCTCTCTCTCTCTCTCTCTCTCTCTCTCTCTCTCTCCTCTCTCTCTCTCTCGCGCCCCATCGGCTTCCGTGCGTCGCTTCATCAAGCGGCGACGCGACGTCTTGCTGTGATTATCGGGGCGGCCCGGTTGCCATGGCGACGCCTGTTGTCGCGGGGCGCTTCCTGCGTGTCGCTGCTGTCGGAAGCGGCGCAGTCAGTGCCACTTGGACGGATGTTTGCCGGGGAGATGTCGCTGAGTGGCGAGCCATCTGGTGCAGCCTCTGGGCTCCCACCGGCTGTCAGAACGTCACACCCCTCCCTGCCACTCCCTCCCCCGGCTCCCATCGGCTGTCAGAACCGTCACACCCCCTCCCTCCCCCTCCCCCGGCTCCCATCGGATGTCAGACTGCCCTCCCCCTCCCTCCCTCTTCGACCCCACACCACCCCATCCTGCCGGGCTGTAGACAGGATCTGACGGTGCCGGAGAGTTATTTCAACTTCTTATGTCTGGAATTGTTATCGTGAGGCGTTCGCCGTACATCAAATGAGTAGATTAGTGTATGCATGCTTGAGTTGTTTGTTCTGTTTTGATGGCTAGTAACACTTGATCTGATAGCCATCTACGTCGAACGCTAAACAATGTAAATGATGCAGTGATAATGATGGATTAGAGCCTTGATGAAGGGGTGGGATGACACACTCCAAAGGCGGCCACTATTTATAGATATGTAGTGGTCTATGTACACTCCTACCGACCCGTCCATTGATGCTGGCACAGTTCGGGATCAATTCAGCCGAAGTTACTGGTTTGGATGAGAGCTGCTAAGGACGGCGATGGAAGGAATGCACTCCGAGCTTGTACCGTACGCAGTTGGATGCCGGGCCAGTGAGGTGTGACTGGTGCGTCAGTCACCTGTGACAACTCCGTATCAAATACGTCACCTTCGTGTGTGGGATGTGTTGTCGGCTCTGTGGTATTGTATGTCAGCTGTGTCGTTGTCTTTTTGGAATCCCTTGACGACCCTAGTCCGCCGCTCGTCTTGCTTGTTCACCGGGAGAAGTAACTCGCTCTTGGAACTGACCCGGAAGTCAGCGACTGCTGACGATGGTCAATAACAGCCTACAGTCGGTGGCAGTCACCGAGACAGTCAGACTAGGGTTTGCGACAGTCGCCAGCGACAGTCAGCCTACAGTCGGCGACAGTCGCCGAACAGTCAGACCAAAGTCGGCGACAGTCGCCGATACAGTCAGACTAGGGTAGGTGGCAGTCAGCGACAGACTACATTCGGGCTTTAAGTAACGTTACTGGTGTGAGATACATGAGATGCAAGTAACTACTGTATGAGAGAGGAATATTGGAAGTAGATGATCCATGAGAGAGATTCCGCCGTTCGAACCTTGATACTCCGTCGTAGAAGTGATCTTTTCATCGCTGCTGGTATTGCTCTCCGGAGAGAGTGTGTGCGTTCCTGGCACAGAGCGGCGGAGAAATCTGCGGCCGCCGGTGACTGATCGGGCGGCTGGGCGCCGGATTCATTGATTGGGTGTGTGTCGGACAGCGTGAACGAGCCAGATTGATTGGGATGGAT